ATTTTACGTATAGGTATGTAAAATAAAATACAAACATAAACACGCAACACACGACCATCGGAAAACGTCTTGGTACTGCAGACAGGCGCGTCACCACTACACCTTACTACTTTCTCAAATGTCTAGGCGGGCATGCGCAAACCGAATCTCTGACGTCACAGACAACCGCATACACGATTCATTTATTCATACATATATTCGTTTACATAAGTGCTAACTCCAGGGTTGTTAATTACAAATGCTAATTTAAAATATATAATTAATAGTAGACAACAGAAACAAATTTAGAAAGGGAAATTGCCTCTAAAATAACTTTCTACCCATACATAATCGAATGCGTCAATCACGATGTACCACGGATCCTCATACCCAATAACACCCAATAACATGCTCGTTTGCATTTTATTTCAGTGGTGATGGTCGGAGTGCCTGTCATCATATCAATTACTATATGCATAGTCTGTGTGAAGATGAGGTAAGAATAAAAATTGGGTATATCAGTCTTTGATTGGTTATCACATTGTCAAATTTTATTTAAATATCCTAAGACTTAAGTTATTGAAAGAAATATAAATAATATTGCAATTTCGAGAAAACAAAAGAAAAAAAACTGATTAGTCTAGTACAATATTCAAATCAGCGGGAGAAAAAATGCATTTTTAAATCATACAGCGATGAAGGTCGAAATAATAATATGTTCAAACGATAACCTTATTCATAGTCACTAAAGCTCTGGTTGGAACGAGCTCACAAATCTAAATGAACAACACAAATGAATCACAAACAATCAACGAATCACACCATAGTCATTCAAATAATTAACAGATAATCCACAAGGGCAAAATCAAACATGTGCATCACAGTAGATAGTGAAATTGGTAAGTGAAATATATATGAAACGCATGACAACTATGTAGTGATATCAAATCTTTCTAAGATAGATAGTACATCCTGTTCTACACGTGGTACTCATCGTATATTATTCACCGCTATATAACGGTGTATCATGTTATATAGCACCCAACAGTCATTAGTTCCATTCAAGTCAAGTGAACGTTTGTCACTGCTAACAAAATAAAACCCGATGATTGTTTTTGTGTGTCTTTAATGTTGATTGTAACCAAGAGGAAAATTTGTTCATTTTGCCCAAAAATTATCGAACAAATTATAGAAATTATAACAAATGCGAGAATATATTAATGTATATTGATAGAAGTTATATTGCACTCACCGAGCTAATAAAGATGTATACCTTTCATTTCAGGCGACGCGAACAAAGGCAATTGTCTGGTGATCAGAGGCATTGCGACATCGCAGGGAAAGAACATCATATTGAAATCACCTCTAACGAAAACGAATATGATAATGACAAATTCAATATAAACTCACCAAGATTATCACGCAATAGTGAGACTACGTCATGGCGTGATTTTGGTAGAAGCAACACACCACCGATGTCTGGTTGTGACGGCCATTTTGCAGAGTGCAGCCAATAACGGGAATACAAACATGGGTATATACATTGTGAACAGTTCTGTGTATTTTATATTCACAAGTAAAATATAAACATTTGTAGTACTTTCACGAGAAGAGCGCCGCGCTGATATACTAGAATTTTTATTATAATTCATATGTCAAAATTGTTACTTGAATCCTTCAATCAAACTATAATTGGACATCGAAAAAAATCTATGAACAGACTTTATGGCACTGATAATATATATAACATTGAACTTTGAACATTGCACACAAAATTTAAACTTGCCCACCTATCGCAGTATAGTATAAGCAAGACAACACCAAGCAACATATCAAGAGCTAAATGCCAGACTGCGTGTACTGTCAGTAGTATCTAAGATAAATTAAAAAGAAGTCTTCGTCATATATGTGTAAAAATAAGTAAGCTCATGCTTTTTAATATGAAAAAAACGAAATTTAAATTCATTGATACTTGCTGTGTTTTCAATAACCTTACCAAGGTATGGAACGCCATAACTGACTTGTGTCATCACTCCCCATACCACGGTGTGCATTATTTGTAATACGTACACTGTTTGTCATTATATGATGCTCGTCCGTCAGTATATTATGTCCATTCGTCATTATATTATGGCCACTAATCATAATATTATGCCCATTCGTCGTTATATTATGCTCATTCGAAATTATGCTATTCCTATTTGTCATTATATTATGTAATTTTATCGTGTCCATTCTTCATTAAAATACACTACGTTATTTTGTTATTGTATTATGTTCTTTCGTCATTATGTGCATTCGTCGTGCGATGCATTGCCAAATTTCTCCGGCCTATGGCGCTGTTTTGCGGAAACTTTTGCGTGCTTGCAAAGTGTGTATTCTCGCTCAGATCGCAACAGCTAGCCACAAAATGCATGTGACAAAAGCAAATGATTCTAGGTTTCGCCTAATTGACTATGACATATAATTGAATTGTACTATATTGGTGCACATAAATCTAATTGTATAACTTTAAACTGGTTAAGAACCCACACACGAAATGGTAAAATCTCGCTTACTATTTGAGTTTTGAGTTAATATTTGACCCCACCCTGGGACCTCGTGACACCATCTACTATATAACTAGTCGATGCATTACGTGAACTTTAACCATTTTGTTTACACTCTCCACTACCAAAGCAATCACGTTGCACATGTTAAAGCGAGGGAGTCGTCACCTGCGCATGCGTCAGATGGCCATAGCGTGTCAGTGTTTACAAACAAGCGTCTACCCATGAGCCTTTGCGTTTTAGCATGTGTTAGCGTCTCTTTGGACTCGATTTCCGCGCGTGCGCAGGTGTCGACCCTCCCGCTTTAACCGTGGTTTTTGCAGCGAAGATACACAACGTGTGGATAACACATTTTTCGGAACACACTAGCATAGCTGAGTGTACAGCCCATATAGTCACAGTCATATATTCTCTGTTATTTTCTCAGCTACACATGCAGTGACCACATCGTCATTATGATGTGGCAGTGTATTTTGTCGAGACACTTTCCATGTTACTGTCAACAAGGAATTTTAAAATGTGACGGATAAAAAAGGTCAATAAAAAGGACTATGATGCAAACTATAAAATTTACCAGGGGTCAATGGTGGCTTATGAGGTATAATTGGAATTTTTATTTTATTTTTGCGGTGGGCGTACGATACTTCGGTGACACACTACTGTGTTAATGGTGGATATTTTATTTTTTGCGGTGGGCGTACGATACTTCGGTGACACACTACTGTGTTAATGGTGGATATTTTATTTTTGCGGTGGGCGTACGATACTTCGGTGAAACACTACTGTGTTAATGGTGGATATTTT